AAAAGTCTTCATTCAATTCAGTAACTAAGTCATTTCTGGAATGAACATTTGTAGATGACAAGGTTAGGAGAGTACAACTCTCAATGCTCAGGTCAAAATCACAAAGTATACAGAAATAATTTCCAAATTATATGAAGAAAGACAGACTTTGAAACAGAGTGACCATTTAAAAACTACACAGCAAAATTCAGCCAGAATATTCAAGATTGACATATTGAAGAAGTATTTAGTAGAAACAAAATTGAAAGTTATAATCCCATGGATGCCCCTTACCAATGTGAAGAAAAGAAACATGATTGCAATGTACAATACATATTGATAGGCTACAATGAGAAATTCTGAACAATTTAAATAACAAAAATGTTCCCTATCAAAGCATAAAAACATAATTAGAAGAAAGTAGCTTTAGTTCTGTGGCCTGTTCAGTTGCTCTTTACATAAAATATTTGTTCCATCTTGAAAAATGGCTTCCAAATGGCACTTCCTCCTTCAGGTTGAAAAGGAGACGGCGTGCTTTGTAGAGAGACAACAAACTTGTTTCCAATGCTCTGCCAAGATGACTCACTCCATCAAGTTTAGAGTATCTCCAAATCTACATGCCGAACTTCAGGATTGCGTTTCTGGAAAGAAAAATCACATTATTCATAGCAAAGAAAATCTTGTTTCTTTTTATTACTTTTATTACTGATACATCTAAGCTAGATTTGAACATGGTGAGTCTTCTAGATAGATGGAGATGGATGATTAGACAGAAAAAACAGCAGGTGCAAACAAAGGAGAGAGCCCAAAAAGCCCTGTGGCACAGCACTGGCTCTGTTCATAGGTACAGTCAGCACAGAAGCTGCAAAAAGAGCAATCTTAGTAAGGAGGCTGGAAGGACAGGCCAAAATCAGGTTGTTAAAAATCTTATATGCTAGTTTAAGGAACGTCAACTCAGCAGCAACAAACAGTATCTCCCTTCAATGGACTTACAGTAAGTGAGAAGGAGACACAGGTAAGTAAGCAAGCAATTACAAAAGTCTGCTGCTATGGAGCAAAGTAACAGTTTTCGGCTTCTCTTTCCTGTAGATATACAAAAGAAGAATGGTTAACTTGAGGGGAATTAAAAATATTATAGAATATTGTGAGAGTGGAGGATAGACAGCAGTGCACAAAAGTGCATAAATCTACACTTAGTAAAGAGCAAATAATATTAAATGAGAAGCAATATAAAACAAAAATATGGCATGAAATTAAAAAATGCTAAAAGTATTAAAAAGAGTTATCTATGAGAGGTAGAATTAGGGACTAGAATGAGGTCAGTTACAAGCTTAAAGTTGTTTGACTTAATATATTTTGTGTATAAAGGGAAAGGAAAAATGATGAGAAATGGAAATAAAGTCTTTGTAAACAGGGAAGGGTGGAGCGGGTGAAGGGAGGGCTAGGAATGGGGAAAAAATAAGAACCAAGATACATTATGTGAAGGTACAATTCCCAATGAGAAATGTAATTGTGTTGTATATCTACAATGTACCAATAAAAGAATTTAATAAAGAAAAAAATATATATATATTTTGTGTATGAGTTGCTTAAAAATTAAAAAACTAAATCAACAAGAGAAAAGCTGTCGTAATTCTGAAATTAATCAGGACTAATACCTTCTAGCTTAAAAATAATATCTTAGGACCATGTGCATATTACTTGTATTAGAGGAATTCATTTCTAAAAACAAAAATCTGGTATAAGACTGGAGTTTTGCTTGACTACAGCATTCTCTGAGTGAACAAAGGGATTTTTCTTATACCCAGGGCCGTTTGAGTGTCCCTAGGAGTCCTTTTCTTTGGGGTCCCAGTGTGCACGGCCAGGAACCCCCAAGCACACTATTATTCTCAAGTTTATCTGAAACCATTCCTTGTCTCTAGAACTTCATAAATTCAATATGGAAAAAAATTTTCTCCAAACAGAAATAAAACCCTATCCGAATAGGACTTGAAATATTTAGCTGTTCACAAGAAATCTGGCATTGTTTTACCAAAAAAGCATTGTATAGTAAATTATACTAATAAAAACATCTCAATCTAAAGTTCATTTACCATATTCTTAAAATCAACCTTTCTAAGAGAAATCTAACAGAGTTGAGCTAGGGGTTTAGCTCAGTGGCACGGCGCCTGCCTTGAAAGCGCAAGGTCCCGAGTTCAATCCCCAGTACCAAAAAAAAAAAAAGAAATCTAACAGTTTATAGAATGTGCACAATACAAAGCACATACACATTTGCTGAATGAATAAAACAAACAGGATTTAAATTTCTTAAAATACAATGTTTACAGCTTTAACAAGATTACGGATATAACAGGCATTTGTTACGCAGAACTGAAAAATCAATAACTTGTACTAATTTATAATTTTTATTTATTTATTCAACACATACTTTTACATTTACTATGTCCCATGCACTAATTAATGTAAGCTGAACTATTTTGCCCAGTACAGAGAGATTTTATTCCAACATTCATGCAGAGTCAAAAACCAAATTATGTGATTTATTTTGCAATGCTGAAGACTCAAGAAAATGCTATTAGGTGGATGCAACTAGAGAAGCAAAGATAAAATAAAAGGCAGAACATTATAAGCAATTTGCTAATGTTATGGCAGCCTCCTACTGAATTAATTTCCAGAAGAATTATTTCTTCTCAAACACAAAAAGCTTCAAAGGGGGGATAGGAGAAGGGTCTATATATAAGAAGTAGGATAAAAAAGTTAACAGTTCAAATATTTTTAAAGCAATAAGATGTATTTTATAATTTTGAAACTATTTTATATATCAGAATTTATGAATAAACCTATTATTTTTCAGTACCTTCACACAGAACTACGCAAATTCTAGAGTCTTAAGCCAAAAATATGACCTATTGAAATATGCACCAGCATTACTCCACGGAGATGTCTAATGGCTATAATGATATAGATACATTTATACAGGAAAGTCACACATGGAACTTCAGCTGTCCCCTCCCCATGGACAGAAAGTCATTCAATGCCAATTACTATGTTTTTCAATAACATTATTTTTTTTCCCCCATGAAGTTTACTGGTATATTTTAGGTATAAAATTCATTCATTCATTCATCATTGGGATCTTGTACAATTACATGTGTATCTTGGTTCTTATTTTTTTCCCCTTCCCCTGCCCTCCCTTCACCCCCTCCACCCTTCCCTATTTGCAAAGACTTTGTTTCCATTTT